TTTATTTTTTTATTTTAACATACTTTATATATTTGTCTTGTATATGTAAGGAAGTTCTCATATATATACTCAAATTGTTCCGACAGGGTATCTGCTAGTCGCTCACCCTTTTCAGCTTTTGTTGCCACATTCTAGGTCTTGATTTCTGTGCATTTTTAATGCGCGGCTAATGTGACGCCAAAAACTTTTGACTTTGACTTTGACTGAGATTTGTTGGTCAGCGAACAGAGAACAGCGAGCAGGGAGCAGAGGTGTAGATGAGATTGCAGTGTGGGTGGGCAGGTGGAGGGGTGGGGATGTGGGACTGCTGCTTCCACTCATGTGTCAGGCTTTTTCGGCTGCTGACAGGCAAAGGGTTTTTCGTTTTTTGTTGGCGCCCTCATGCATAATAGATAAATTATAAAAATAAGCACAGCTCACACACACACACACACACACACACACACTCGCACACTCATATGTTGCAGCTGTGTGTGTGGGTGTGCGGGGTGCCCCTTTAGCTGCGTGTCAGCCATTGTCCTTCAGCGCAAGTGTCCTTTTGTTACCACGTCACCAGGTCGCAGCGCATTTTAAATTAGCCATTTCTATTGCCGCTCGCTGCTGAAGTCACTCAAATTGTCACTTTGATGTACTGACAGCTCCAAGCCCAAGGACCACAGCTCGAATCCCGCTGCCCATGTGCATAAATTAATGAGTATATATACGTGTGTCTCTCTCTACTTTCTCTCTCTCTCTATCCGCCTCTGTAGATTTGAAGCCTCAACTGCTGGCTCGCTCATTTTTAACTGCACAATTAATCAGTCGCTTAAGACCACATTTAATTAGAGGCTTTGCTCCTTTTTTAACTGACCCAACAAAAAAAATATATGCAAAAATATCAGTAAACCCAAAAAAGGTTCAATTGTACTTTATTTTTGTACTTTATACTAAAAAAAATTCTATATTTTTGCTAAGCATTTAAATCGCATTAAGTCATGCAATATTCTTATTTTAAATATTTCTGATTGGTGTCAATTAGTTTAACTAATTTTTTTATTTTTGTGTATAGTCTAGTGTC